GTTCTGATTTAGCCCAAACCAGGACACTCATCTCATATCAGTTCCAGATGTAGCTTCATCTTTCAGCAGTACACAGGCAGGCAGAGCAGAGCCACAGCTGTTTGGAGAAGGGTTATTCATTGGAAGACCTGATTCAGCTACAGAGTGAAAGCGCTGCAAGTGGGAGTGCGTCATATTGTTGTGGCATTTTTATGTTACCCCTCGAGGTGAATTAAACACGTTTGTGCTTAAATGTAAAAGAAAAATTTAATGAACAATGCATTGGACAGAGTCCTACCGCAATATGCAGTTCTACATGGGTTCTGCCACGATGCATCACGAGAAGATTCCTTACATCCACTTGCTCCAGCACTGATCCTGTGAGCAGTTGCATGGGGTACGTCAGCCTGGCTACGGGTCCATCCCCCAGCCCAGCTCTGCTGCCCAAATGTGGCCTCTCAGCTTGGCCCCTGAGCACTCCCATTCTAGGATGGCTACAAGACAATGCTGTGGTTGTGACAATTCTTACCTGATCACCAAGGGAAACTGTACTCCCTTGCAAGGAGTCTGTTCTCTCTTTAGCATCCCTGCCTCCAGCCAGTTTAATCCCTTCTTGTAGTTGGGTCATCTTGCCCTCTGTACCAGATCATTCCTCGGTCAATATTTACCGCAACCGAGCAGTTACAATTAGAAAGTCTCCTTCAATGTCAGGTAAGGCTGAAATCACATTTCTAAGAGGTAAATCAGATTAATTTTGGTCAAACTATAAAAGATTATTTAATAGCCCTCTTCTGTCCTCTAAGGTTGGTCCAGGGTGAAAATACTAGGATGGACATTAATGCGCGAAGGATTTGAAGAAAATTACAGCAGGAAGGATGGCTATGTTGACAAACAAGCATGCTGTCAATCTGTTATCTATTCACCATAGTGTAACTGAATACGGATTTCCTTAGGTATTTTTTTACTTTCCGTTTGTACAGTGTATTTTGCGATGAGAAGGGCAGAAATTCTACCAATAGCCTTAGCAGTCTGCCTGTAAGAATTACAAATGCAAACTGTCCTGCAGCAAGGTGGTCAAGTTCAGTATCCACAAACACTCATTAACCTGTCCAGTTCTTAGCAAATGCCTATTACAGTTTTCCACTGGTTGTATTGGTCTGCTCTAGATCATCTAAACATCCTGCTGCAGGATATTTTTTGTTTGTTTTACAAACCCAATGAAACAATTTTGTTAAAAGATTTGCATAAGACAAAAAATATACAGTAATCTTTCTCATAAATTATTATCTGGAGAATGTTCAAGAACTGCTTAAAAAGAAAAGAAACAATACAACTGTGCAATGCTGACAATAAGGCCTTTCTTCTGTAATTACTCGATGATGACAGATCAATAATTAAATGTGATTCTCGGTGCTTTATTCCAGGCTGTGATGCATTTCCTCTCTACTTGATACGTGGCAAATGGGAAATGTAGAAATAAAATAGTCATCACAACATTTCTGCTCCTGGAATTTGGGGATATCCCAGAAATGCAATCTTTTCTCTTTCTTCTTTTCTTGGTGATCTATGTTGTGACTGTGATTGATAATATCCTCATTTTTGTTTTGGTGGTGGTTGATCAGCACCTCCACAAACCCATGTACTTCTTCCTGTGCAGCTTGTCCTCCTTGGAGACCTGCTACAGCTCTACTATCCTGCCCAGGATGTTTCCTAGTTTTCTGACTGGGGGCAAGAGTGTTTCTGTTGGCAGTTGTGTCACACAGTTTTATTTACTCGGTTCCCTAGCAGTCACTGAAAGTTTTCTCTTATCAGTGATGTCTGATGGTCGGCATTTAGCAGTATGCAAACCCTTTCACTACAGAGCTGTCATGAATAGCAGATACTGTCTGCAGCTTGTAGCTTGGTCTTGGTTGCACAGTTTGCTTGTTACGGCCGTAAGCTGCTTCGTGATTTCACATTTCTTCTGTGGTCCCAAGTGTATCAATGATTTATTTTGTGATTTCACTCCAGTGATAAAACTCTCCTGCTGTGACACTAGCCTGACCAAAATGTTGGTGTTCATCCCCTCATCAGTATGTGCACTACCCCCTTTCCTACTAACCCTGGTGTCCTACATGTGGGTCATCGCCAGTCTTCAGAATATCTTCCACCACTGGGGTGCAAAAGGCTTTTTCCACCTGCTTTTCGCACCTCGTTGTTACTACAGGGTTTTTTGGTGGGTTGTTTTTTTTTTTTTTTTTTTTTTTAATGGAAGCTTAATAATTATTTATGTCCTGCCAAAAACTAGGACTCTAAGAGCACTGAATAAAGTCTTCTCAGTTTTCTATGCTGTTGTGACTACACTGCTCAACCTCCTCATCTACAGTCTGAGAAACAGAGAGGTGAAGGATGCTCTGAGTAAAGTAGCCAGGAAATGTGTTTCCTAGAAGTTGGAACTTTTTAACCATTTTCTTCCCCTAGAAGACAATGAAAGAAAATAACTTGTGATATTTGAGGGAAGATTCTCCTCATGAAATTTTTAGCTGTCAGAGCCTGTGCGACTTACCCTAGACTTTCCACTAGCAAATTAGCTAACCTGACATACCTTAACTGCCCTAGTGAGGACGAGACATTTTTCTCTGGAAAAAGGTCATCTCTCTTTACAAATTGTACCAGTTGCCTGGGTGACTATGTCAGATTTCAACATCTAACTGGTGATTCCCCAATTCAGCTGATTGCAATCCCATTCCTCTGAAGAGTGGCCCAGTTCGCTTGATGAGAGTTGTTGAGGACAACTGATTCTTAGATGAATAATTTAGATTTAAACATTAACTTTTTTAGGCAGCTAAATGTAGGTCAGAGGAATTTATCTAATTTGGAGGGAGCAATTTAATCTGTTTTAGAGTAACTATACCAGCACAACTGTATTTGTCTCAGTGAATGTGAATGCTACACAGTTGGTTGCATAGCTGTAAGTCTGCATATTTAAAAAAAAATTAAATGACACACTAGTAACTCTTAATTGTCTATACGTCTGTGGACATTTCATATTCATATTTATTTGTAATGGTCATCTCAGCTGTTTTAAGCCATTCATGTGAACTGCCTTCATAAGTTTTCTCTTCTAGGCTCAACACTGATAGCAAATGTAAACACGAGTTCTACAGAGATTTTGTAAGGAAGAAAACAAAAGACTTATTGCTGCCATCAAGGACACACAATTGAAAATAGCTTGAAATGTGAAATGTGAATCTTGGCTGGGATTCATCTCATCTAGGTATAGATACTGTATGCAATTATCAGCCTCTGAGACAATTTTCTAGGTTGAGTTGAATTCCATTCTGTAATTGATTGGATGAGGCTGTTGCATGATTTGCGGCATTGTGCAACACAGCAGCTGTCTGAATTCACAGAAACAAGCCAGGACAAAGCACCTGTTTTATCCAATGGGGATAACAGGAAATGCCTCAAATGTAACAAGGAATACCCTTGGCAAAAATACAGGCTGAGTACTGACTGTCTTGGGAGCAGCTCTGCAGAGAAGTGTCTGGAGACCTTGCAGACAGCACACTGAACGTGAATCATCAGTGTGCACTGGTAGTAAAGAAAGCCAACAGAATTCTGGGTTGTGTTAACAGGAACATGGTCAGTAGATGAAAGGAAGAGATTGTCTCCCTCTAGTTGGCACTCATTAGACCACTTCTAGATGACTGCGTCCAGTTTTGAGTCCCCAAATAAATAAAGACATGAAGAAATTAAACTGAGTTGAGCAGAGTGCCACTAAGAAGATCGGGGAGCATGAGCACATGTGCTATGAGGAGAAACTGAGGGAACTGGGATTGCTCAGCCTGGAGAGGAGAAGCTTAATAGCAGCTTTGCAACACCCAGAGAGTTGCCATGAAGAAAATATAGCCAGGTTGTTTACACTGGTGCATGGTGGGAAGATGAAAGGCAATGAACATAAATTAAATAAAAGAGGTTCTGAGTGATGGCAAGAAAGTATTTTTACCCTGTGGAGAATGAAGCATTGGAGCAGGATTCCCAGAAAGGCTGTGCAAATCTCCATCCTTGGAGAGTTTTTAAGTACCAACTGAATAAAGTTCTGAGTGATGAGATCTCCTAACTGACACACGTTGAGCAGGCAGCTGGACTAGGGCAATGGTCCTCCAGAGTGTCTGCCACTCCTCTGCAGATGTCTCATTAGTCTAGGATTTCAAGTGGGTGCTTCAGACATCTATGTTGAGGCAACTGAGTTCCATCCCAATTGTCTAAGTGTAAGTTACTCACCACAAGTGGGATTTTTCTTACTGAAATGAAAATCTGCATCTCTGTCTTTTTCTGGATAAGGGATAGTTACAGACAATCCAGGAAACCAATTATGTAGTCTACCTTACCATGAGATGAATCGTGTCCTAGAAATGCCTTTTGTATCCATTGTTCAGAAAGGGTTTCTAGATAATTTGATTATGTATCGCTCTACCAGGAAAGATGCATGATGGTGAATGAGCAGACTGTTATCTTCTGTTTTTTTCTAGAGATAGACTCCTCTGTTCCTTGAATCACTCCTCAGCAAATCTAGGGACTAATCATCACATTCATTTCATCAGGGAACAAACTCCTCTCTGAAAGTACTGGACCCTATTAGTATGATACCCTACTCAGATTTAGCACCTTATTTTTAGCAAGGTAATTAATTTAACTAAGAATCTGACACCAAGGGCCAGGATTATTGTTGGGAGGTTTAGTCAAACCTTGGTAGTGAAGCTGTTCATAAAGGCTACATTCAATCAAGTGATGCTCCTTTTCAGAGCTCCCCTTGGGTATGCCTATGCTTACATCTTATATCAGGGTCATCCACCGTAAAGCTCTAGTCCTTTAACTGTCCACTCCCCTGCCACACGTCCCATTTAATTTTAGCTGTCTTCTCTTTAGGCTCTGAAGATCAGACACAGAAGGAGAAGAAGGAAGGTTCACTGCCTCATGCTCAAGAGCTTCGGTGTGTATTCATTTGCCTTTACATGCTTTAGCACTGAATTTGAGCATTGCTCGGAAAGGCAGTGTAGACTTCATCTTAGAAACCAGTGAGGAGGGGTAGCAGGCAATTCCGAGTGAAGATCTTACTGACACTTGATAAATCCTTTTCTCTAGAAGAACACCCAGTAAAAACGGAACAGTGGCTGATTTCAGGAATAGGTTTTAGAGGCTCTTGCTCATTACTTTTTGGGTTTTGTGTGCTTCCCTCAAAACATTTGTATGTCTTTAAGCTACAGATGGAGAATCAAACACCAGTGACGGAGTTCGTCCTCTTGGGTGTTACTGATGATGATCAACTCCAGTATGTGCTCTTTGCCACCCTGTTAGTCACCTACATCTTGACTTTAACAGGTAGCATCCTCGTCATCACCATCACCCTGATAAACCATCATCTTCAGACTCCCAGGTACTTCTTCCTCAGGAACATCTCCATCTTAGAGATTGGCTTTACCAGCACTATCATCCCCAAAGCATTGACCAACCTGGCTTTCGGCAAGAAAGCAATTTCTTTAAGGGGTTGTCTCACTCAAACCTTTGTCTGCTCCTTGCTGGGTACCACTGAGCCTCTCCTGTCTGCTGTAAAGTCCTTTGACAAGTATGTGGCCATCTGCAAACCTCTACACTATGTGGCCATTATGAATTCACAAGTCTGCAGGCTGCTGGTGATTACTGCCTGGATTGGTGGGGCTGTCTTCATTCTTTCTCCATCAGTGGTATATTTCCAGATTCCATTCTCTGGTTCAAACATCATTAATAATTTTTTCTGTGATAGCACAGCAATGATTCAGCTCAAATGCGGAAATACCAAGGTCCTGGATGCATCATTTTCATCTCAGCAGTGTTCACCCTACTGAGTAGCCTGGCTATTACAGTTGAGTCCTACATCAACATCATTACTGCTGTGCTCAAAATCCACTCTGTGGCTGGCAGACTGAAAGCCTTTTCCACCTGTGCCTCTCACCTCACTGTGCTATCTAACACGTATGTCAGCTGCATCTTCATGTACCTCACACCCATCAGACCAACAGACTGGACCTCAGCAAGGTGGTGTCCATCTTGAACAGTGTGGTGTCTCCTCTGCTCAATCCATTCATCTATAGCTTGAGGAACACACAGTTTCAGGAGGCCTTAAGCGAGAACATCAAAAGGAGTACAGTAATTTCTAAATGCCCAGAAATTTGAGGTTGTATCGAGTGTGGATGCAATCAAGAACATGAAAGAAAATAATTTAGTAACATTTCTGTCTCTCCTTAGACATCCGTCTATTCTCTGACATACCTATTCCTACACACCCATCCATCCATGCATTCATCCATTCATCAATCCGTCTTCCAACAACTGTCAATAATCTTGTAAATTATTCAACTTGTTCTTTCAGTTCTCTCTCCTTCTTTTTCTTGCCACAAGCATTCTGATTTCCTTTTCTCCATGTTGAATGATTTAGGACAGTGGTGGCTAGTCGACCAATCGCTCTTTTACTGGGCAGTCCAAGTCCACATGAAGAACAAAGGGAAGTACAAAGGGGTTTATGTGGGGGATCTCAGCTGGACTGAGGCCCCTGGACAGGACGACTTTGACCTTGAGAGGATTCCAGTCTACCTGTGAGAAAACAGACAGGAGCAAGAAGAGCTGCAGCTGCAAGATAAGCAAGGTCTGAGAAAGTGTCAACCGTAAGACAAGACATACATGTCCTTTTGGTAGAAGAGCTGAGTTATAATGAACTGTGCAAATAACAAATTATAAGATTGTATAACACTTCTGAACCAATTAGAAAGAGACACATCGGGGAAAGCTAAGGGGAAAGAGAGTATAAATGAAAAGGCAATAAAGGCTTCTGTACTAACAGGCTTTCAAAAAGATTTGTTGTCTTGTCGCTTTGTCCGTCTCAATCGCGACAGTTTTATGCAAACGACATCACTGTGTCATTTAACACACACTTGTTCCTTCCTTAAGTAGAATGGGATCAGACAGGATGGAATGGCAGGGGACGGAGGGAAAAATAATGTCATCAGCTATCTGTGAATAAAAGTCTGAGCCTTCCATCCTCATGAGTCTCAGTGATATGTAGTGTGTGATAGATCTTTCTCTGATGTATATATACTTCTGTTTGAGCCTCAGCAGTTGAAGAGTGTTGACTATCCCTATAATGCAGGGAGTGAAGATGGGAAGAATGCTAGTTGTTTTCTGAAACAAACAGTAATTTTGATCACTGATGAAGGAAATAGTGTCAAATTTGTAACATTTGCAGTTTTTAGTAATTCATATCATGCTTGCTGGAACCCATCTTATTAAATCTTACCTAACATCAGTGATTGGATTCAGCCTGTAATTTGGATCTATGAATAGGCACCTAAAATAGACATTAGGATATGTGTACAGATGGCCATCCCTGGCCTACACTTTAAAGGCAACAACGGGTGATAATTAGAAGTCATTTCAGACAGCAAAAAGGTGTAAAGTTTATATAGTTTGACCTGACTTATGGCACCACTAACAAAACAGCAACATGGGAAATGATAGGACACTGCTGATAACTAACGGGGGATACGAGCTTAACAGAACTAATCAACAAGGTAGACATTACCAGAGCAACCATGTCATATATATAAAAGAAGTCTTTAAACATAGCAAAACCTAGGCTAATGAGGGAAGGATAAGCAGGGGTGGGCATTTTATTTGGGAAACGTAGTCAGTGGTAAAGGGGAAGAACTTGGAAAGAAGACCAGGTGAAGCAACACATGTGACGGGGGTTGTTCGGTACATCTGTTAACTACCCTGCTTTTGACCAGTGGAGTTTGGAATGGGAGAAGAAACCTGTTGCTGTCATAACCATACTTGTGTCTGACACCTTCATGGTTGAGAGACCTGGTGTCTTTGCCTTAAATTTGGTGAGGGAACACCTAGGGGACAGGAAGAGCATTCTGACTTCCTAGTGAAGAACTCTCTTTTACTGGCATCTTGTGCTACTTTAGATGCTCTGGACTACAACGTGAACACGGCTATTAGATATGGCTTAGGGGCTTCAAAGCATTCAGCTCCTATACAGTAGGAGCTGCAAGCCAAGCTGAACATACCAAAACATCTTAATGGAATCACTCTTCTGAGTTTCAAAAATGGCTTCAATAGAAGTGTTTTAGCGTATCAGAGTCACTGTCATGGTTTGCGTGATACAACACAGGATGTACCATATACCTTTTTGAGCAGAAGCTGGAGACAAAATGGGACAACTAAAAAGACCCTAAACTCCCATGGAACATTATTGCCCCAATATGCGTTTTGAGTACTAAAGAGAAGCAAGCACGTTGAAGGCAGTTTTCATCTGAAAGGTCATCTGCTTAGCATGTAGGGATTCATGCCATAGAATTGCCAATGGGATGTCAGAAAAGTCTGTATCTCCCCTGTGATACCAAAGGCAGCTTAAACCACTTGTCTAGAACTGGCAAAATTAATTCCTCTCTCCTTTCTGTTCAGTAACTTTTGTCCCTTGGATTTGCTAATCATATTTTATGTTTTGTTTTGTCATTAACAGCAGGTAAGAGAAATAACACAGAATAGCTTTCTTTTGTTTGTTGTTTGTCATCCTGTCCATTACCAGCCACGACATCCTCCTGGTATCGGCTCACTACCTGTCACTACCGCATTGCAGTGAGCCTCCTCATCCTCACGCTCAGGCATTCCATTCTGTTCCCAAGAAGGCTGCACACACAAGCAAGCTTGAACATGCTTTTATTGGTGGCCGGAAAGCAGAGCAGGAGGACTCACTGTTGGGCAGCAGTGGGAGGAAGGGAATAATGTGAAACTGTGTGTGCTTGGGACCTGTGTTTTTAACTTGCCATGGAGACACTCCTTAGCGCAGAAGCCTGTGCCTATGCCGTGAGAGCATCTCTGACTCTGTTTCAGCCGCCCCTGGAAGCCTCTGAGCATCAGCATATGTTTGATGCATTGTTGAAATGGGACACTGAGCATTTTAGTCAGAGGAGGGAGAGTCAGGTTCGTCTTGGAGCGCAAACTTCCTCAGCTCTTTGTGTATCCAGGGCTCAAAGTAGGAGACTTTGGTAAATACTTTCGGGAAGATGCAATATTTGCGCCCATGAGAAACAATGCCGTGAGCCTTCCCATTGCAGATTAATGGTCCACCAGAATCACCCTATGAGGTAAAAGGAGTGGGAGGGGTCAGACACAAAGCACAGCTCCTTCTGCCCTAAGGAAGAAACTGGTCCTCTTGCCTCCCTTCATGTGAAGAATCTCCTCTTTCGACCATCTCCCTCCAGGCCCAGCTCCACAGGGCTTATACCTTCCTTACTACTCCTCTAAGCCGATCCGTGAAGCAAATAAGGCCTGGAGGCCATTTGAGATTCAGAAACTGCCTTCACATTCCTGAAAAGAGGAATCTAGTCCTACTTTAGATGCATGGGAACATCTGAGCCATCCCACAGTGTCAAGAGGATATGACAAGGGATATATATGAGATCTGCAGCCTGCTGGAGCAGTGGCTAGGCAAGGTAGAATATCCCCAGGCGTGTAAAAAGGCATATGATACTGACAGTGGGGCAACTGCACCCCAGTTCATCCAGCAAAATCAGCTTCAGAGCTCCTGTGAGGAGCCTCCACACATCATCCTGAAGAATCTACTTCATTTTAATCCTCTTTTTCCCCACCTGAGAACCAGAATCAGACTACCTAATCCCAACCTAATCCGAAGTTTGGAGCCCTAAAAAACACTTACATGGTAAGTTGATTTTTTGCCATCCTTATCACCAGCACAGATCATAGACTGATGCAGGTACTTGCTTTTGAAAGTCTCACACATTTTCTTACTCTGCACCTTCAGGTTCACTTCCATCAGCACACTGGTCTTCTTTTGTGTCATTGATGTCTCGCCCCAGCCAGCCACTTCACATACAGTTCCTAGTTTCAGATGCTCACTGTGACTGGGCAAGGGGATATAACTTACTTCCTTAGTCAGCTTGGCCTTTGGCTTCAGCTGCCAAGCGGAGACAACATAGGGTTAGAGCAGACAAAGGAATGGGAACAAGTTTGTGGGGTTGGGGAAGCAAGCAGGGGGAGATCCCTCAACCAGCAAGGAATTGTGAAGGCATACCTTCAGCAGCATGATGTCATTTTCAAAGGCATCTCCTGAGTAGTTGGGATGGATGACCCAGTAGCCAACGTGGAATGCCTGCTGGCTCAGTTCTTCCTTTTTCATATTGTGGGCTCCCAAGGTCACAGTGATATTCACTTTCCTGCCAGGAAACACCAACACGTTCCAGCTGCACTGACCACAGGCACACAGCCCCCATGGCAGGTGGTTTGAGGGAGGTGCTGGTACAATATGCTTCCCCAGAGATTGCTTCTCAGCAAGTTGACCTCTGTAGCCTGTATTCCTTCCACAATTCAACAGAGGGTCCCTTACCTCATACTGACATAGGTCTGAGGTGTCCCATTCTGAAAGCAAAGGGGAAGCAGGGAAGGGGAGACACCAGCCTCTCTTCTCCAACAGTAGCTCTGACCCATGGTAGGAATCATGGATCAGGAGACGTCTGCCAAGGAGTCCTGTTCCCAGGGGTTCACAGCCCCTGGCAGAAAATCCCTGCAACTTACAGGGGGTGTCTCAGCTCACAGAGAGCCTTGGTGTGCCTGAAGAGACACAGAGTACTTTTTCACCCCAGACCAGGACTTGTGGCACTTCATGACTATGTGAGACCTGAAAAAATCACATGTACAAGAAAGATAGGGACTTACTTTTTTCCAGCCACGCAGTGAGCTGCTGAGAGCACTGCATCTGGGCGAATCAGGAACCCTCCACAATATGTTGGCCCTGACTCATGATTAATTGATAAACGAGCCATGTAGGGCCTGGAATGGGGTTTAGCTTCCCGTCCACCAATGATCCTTTCTGGAAGAGAGATGAGAAGTGTTAATATCGCAGAAGCTGGTATTTTGCATTATGTTTGGAGCTGCATGAGGAGAGAGAGTCATCCTCTGAGGCCATATGCCAATGACGCCAATTACTCTCCTTCCTCGGGCTGTCCAAAGCGTCACTTCTGCACAATGGAGAGAAAAACAAGGAACATGTCCTGGAGATGACTGCCCACACCTGGCTCTGGATGTCTAAACTGCTGTCAAAGGGCACTACACTAATTCCTGTAATGCGTCAATGGTTTCAGGCACAGTATGAGCTGAGAGATAAGAGTAGAGTGTAGAGATATGAGAAAAGGTAAGGCAGGTACCAGACAGATTGCCTACTCAATGCCCATTTCTGCCCTTTCCTGTCCTCATCTAAACCCACCTCTCTGTACTTACCAGCTCCAGCCCATGGGACAAGGAGAAAAGCACTTGGAAGCAGAAGAAGCAGCATCTTCTGTCACTGTCCTGAAGAGCCAAAACACTTGTAATGGCCAGGCAGGAGACAGGTACAGAACAGCAATCTATATATAGGAAGCTTGGAGCTGAAGCAGGAAACCTCAGCCTTCTTTCAGCTTGTGTCATTCGCTGATTTTCTTCTTACGAACAACAGACTGTGGTTTGGTGAGGAGTTCATGTCATAATCTCTCATCTTTGCCACTATCTTCTCCAAAACCTGGAGAGATCTGAGCTTATTCAGAGTACCCAGAGTGCCTAGTACTCAGGCAGCAGTAAGAGGAGTGGGATATCTCTAGCCAAGTGCATATTTCATTGAAAATCCTTGTTGAGAGCCCCCTTGGACTCTAGGTATGGTATGGGGGGTGTGTGTGTTGCTTTGGGGGATTTCTATTATTATTATTGTTGTTGGGTTTGGGTTTTTTCTCTTTCCTTTCTTTGCCTGTCTCCTGATAGGAAGAGTAAGACCTGAACAAGGTCAGGCAGAGGTCCTGGCTCTTACTGGAGCAGCTGAGTGCCATCAGAGATGCCCTTGGAGTATCAGAAATCACCTATCAAAGGCTAAAAAAAAGCTAAGGTGCAAGATCTATCGGAGACTCGCATCCTGAAGCACTAGTGTTCTAGATGATCAGACAAGTCCATAGTGATGCATAAAGTCTGATGTCAAGCTGGAAAGTCAGTCCATGGGCCCAGGTCTAGATCAGCAGGCTATGTGGCCAGGCACAGGCATGTCTGAGACACAGCTGGAGCTGGAGCTGGAGCTCAGATGGGGACCAGAGCCTGCTCTTCAAACAGCTCCCAGGAGACGGGAAGCAGCCCTGGCTGAGGCCTCTCTGAAGTCCTCCCTGGGAGCACTGGCTCCAATGTTACTAGACAGTAGGGACACAGCCTAGAGTTGCGCTGACTCTAATTTGGCTGTGAGCCTAGACAGTTAAACCTCCAGGATGGGGAACACACTTAAGTCACTGACACTGAGGGTGGAGACTGGACAACTTCTCTGGGCAACTGACTCCAATGCTTCAGTGTTCTCATGGGGAAAAAGTTTTTTCGTACATGTAGCCTGAACTTCTTTTATTCAATTACCCATTGTCTTTATCTCTCATGCTCCCACCATTTGCAGCTGTGAAGATCCTGATCCCACCTTCCTGATGGTTGCTTGCAGGTATTGGAAAGCTGCTGTTGGTTCCCCCAAGCCCTCCTTTTCTCCTATCTGGACAACTCCAGTTTCCTCAACCTCTTCTCAGTGTAGACCCCTACGGTACTCCACTTCTTACAGGCCTCCAGGTAGAGTAAGGCCTATTAATCAGCACCACCACTCTCTGAGCCTGATCATCCAACCTGGTTTTACTCGTCCAGTTGTCCACTCACTCAGATCATTACATCCTACCCTAGTTCAAAGAATATCCTGGGAGGCAGTGTCAAAAGCCTTGTTAAAGTCAAGGTAAATGACACTCACTGCTCATCCTCCATCCATAATTCCAGTCACTTTATTACAGAAGGCAATCACGTTGGTCAGACCTGTTTTACCCTCAGTAAATACATGCTGACTGTTCCAATCTCCTTCCTCTCCTTCATGTGCAGTGGCATGCATTACGAGAGGATTCGCTCCATGATTTTTCCAGATTCTTAGTGTTTGCTTCTCCTGCTTGCTAGACTTCACCTTTCACTTTTTCATTCTTCCAGACCATGCCAGCATGACATCTAATCTGGGTTAATCTGCTTCCTGGAAGCTTTTTAACTGTACAATTTCCATCCCACAGAGAGATAAAGCAGAAAGCTGCAGACCACTTTACTTTCTGTGATGAAAGAGATTGTCTTATCGGAGGAACACAGACCCAAACTGAGGAGACATTTCAGACTATACCAAGCTGTAGAACTAAACGGTAATAAACACTTGAGCAAACCCCCACCCCTTTTCAGTATTCTGATATTTCCAGGAAAGAGCCGATTTCTCAGCAATTCCTCTTTTGGCTGGTAACGCAAAGAACTGTAAAGAGACTGTGTCTTCTCTGTGCCCATAAGGAGCTTTTTGGAACATAAGACAAAGTAATTCTCTTACATCCCCTCTGGCACAGCTTTGCATCTAGAATTATTGGGAAACACCTGAAATCACAACCCCAAATTCCCTTCTCTAGCTGCTTGGAAAAATCTCAAATACTGATGAGAAAGTAACAACACAAAAGTGATGGGGCCAAACAGTGACAAACAGAACTGTGAGATAAGGGAGCATGAGCAAAACTTCAGGGTGGTGCAGGAGGAAATCCCAGCTTTTAGTATGACTGACAATAAAATCAAACATCCCAAGCCAGAAGATACTGTGCAAGGCTTGTGACCTCTTGAATGGGCCTGTACAACAACACTGGTGAGCACATGGACTGGGCTATGTCTGGGCCCTGCATGGTGGTGCCATTATGGAATTGTTGTTCTTTGTGCCCATGTGTTTTTCTGTTCAAAATATCGGAAGGGAGAGAGTGGACATAGAAAAAAAGGGATAACAATAAATATTTTTACAAATACATTAACAGCAATAAGAGAGTGAAGGAGAATTTCCATCCTTTATTGGATGCAGGGGGAGAACACTGCCACCAAGCATGAGGAAAAGGCTGAGATACCTGATGCCTTCTTTGTCTCAGTCTTTAATAGTCAGACCAGTTATCCGCAAGGTAATCAGCTGCCTGAGCTGGAAGACAGGGACAGAGAACAGAATAAACTCCACATCCAGGAAGGAGCAGTTAATGACCTGCTATGCCACCTGGACAGTCACAAGCCTATGGGCCAGATGGGATTCACCCAAGAATCCTGAGGGAGCTGGCAGAGGAACTGGCCAAACCACTCTCCATCATTTATCAGAAGTCCTGGTCAACTGGCATGGTCCCAGATGACTGGAGGCTTGCCAATGTGACACCCATCTACAAGAAGGACTGGAAGGAGGATCTGGGGAACTACAGGCCTGTCAATCTGACCTCGGTAACAGGGAAGATTATGGAGCGGTACATGTTGAGTGCGCTCACATGGCATCTGGAGGACAACCTGGGGATTGGGCCCAGCCAGCATGGGTTCATGAAAGGCAGGTCCTGCTTGACTAACCTGATCTCCTTCTATGACCATGTGACCCACCTAGTCAATGAGGGGAAGGCTGTGAATGTCATCAACCTGGATTTTATAAACCTTGGACACCATCTCCCACAGCATTCTCCTGGAGAAACTGGTGGCTCATGGCTTAGACAGGTCTGCTCTTCATTGGGTAAAAAACTGGCTGGAAGGCCAAGCACAGAGAGTTGTGGTAAACAGAGTTAAATCCAGCTAGGAGCTCGTCACAAGCAGTGTCCCCCAGGGCTCAGTGTTGGGATCAGTCTTGTTTAACACCTTTATCAATGATCTAGATGAGGGGATCGAGTGCTCCCTCAGTAAGTTTGCAGACAATACTAAATTGGGTGGGAGTGTTTACCTGCTTGAGGGTAGGAAGGTTCTGCAGAGGGACCTGGATAGGCTGGGTCGACCTTATCGCTCTCTACAACTACCCAAAAGGTTTCAGTGAGGTGGGTGCTGGTCTCTCTCCCAAGTAACAAGTGATAGGATGAGAGGAAATAGCCTCAAGTTGTTCCAGGGGAGGATTAGATTGGATATTAGGAAAAATTTCTTTACTGAAAGAGTGGTCAAATGTTGAAACTGGCTGCCCAGGAAGATAGTGGACACCATCACTGGGGATGTTAAAAAAAACGTGTAGATGTGGCGCTTCAGGACATGGTTTAGTGGGCATGGTCATGTTGGGTTTATGGTTAGACTTGATGATCATAGAGTTCCAATCTTAATAATTCTATGATTCTATGACATGCTTGTGTTACAGCTTACCAGAGCACTATCTTTGAAGGTAAGCACTGAGAATGTGTACTGCCTCTCTTAGGTTACATTAGGAGACATATGGGAGGTGATTGAGGCCTGAAGACCCACTCAGACAATCACAGAGCACTGTGAAAAGCAGAGAGACACAAACCTGAGCTGTCCCATTCACACCAACTACCTGGAGACAGCTCTGGAAATGACTGCTCCAAGAATGTCAGGTGGTGTGGTTTAACCTCAGTTGGCAACTAAGCACCACACAGCTACTCACTCACTCCCAGTCCCCTCCATTGGATAGGGGGAGAATTGGAAACGTAAAAGTGAGAAAACTCATGGGTTGGGATAAAAGAAGTTTAATAACTAAAAATAAAATTGTAAGGAAAATGGAGAAAAATTAACAAAGAGAGAGGAAAATAAAACCCAAGAAAGATGAGTGATGCAAATGAAAACAATTGCTCACTACCAACCAGCCAATGCTCAGCCAGTCCTTGAGCAGCAGCCCCCCTGCTAACTTCCCCCTCCCAGTTTTATTGCTGAGCATGTTGTTTTATGATACAGAATATCCCTTTGGTCGGTTGGGGTCAGCTGCCCCAGCTATGTCACCTCCCAACTTTTTGTGTGCCTCCAACCTACTCACTGGTGGGGCAGTGAGAGGGGCAGAAAGGGCCTTGGCGCTGCGTAAGCATTGCTCAGCAGTAACTAAAACATCAGTCTGTTGTCAACACTCCTTTCAGCACAAATACAAAACATAGCCCTGTAATAAAGAATGGCTAACTAGCTTTTAGAAAACTAACTTTTAGAAAAGAACTGCTGACCAGCCTTTAGAGATAGGGAGGGAGGCCGCTTTGTACTAACCCTTATGAATATATCCATTGCTGACTAACACTTTAAAGATAAGAATGAAGCAGAATCCTCCAAGAGAAGGACACGACGTGGAATCCTCCAATCAGACTGTGGGGTTCAAGGAACACAAAGGACTGAGCAGGAGAGATGGGGAGGGCAGCGAGCAAGAGCTGGTTCTGCAAATTGGAAAAGACCCAGGATGGTACATGGCATGCGCCACAGGACGAGTTCAAAAGTTCAACCCTGAGGAAGACTCGGACCTTCATCCCAACGACCACCAAGGACCCCCGACGGGGCCGTAACTTGGGCGGACTG